ATTCATATTGCCAGAATAATAAAATCTAAACGAATTTTGTGGATAATTTTTAATTTCCATTACATCAACTAACTATAACAATAACAATAACAATAACAAATATATATAAAAGGAATTGCATTTAGAGATTTAAAAGGAACACTTTATCCATCAATTGGATTAAGGACACAAGGAGAATCTTTAGAAGTCAATTTTGGTCAAAAGAAATTCAAATATTCAATTGAAGATTATGTGAAGGTTGATTGAAATTAATTATAATAATATATAATAATAATAATAATGACTATTCAAATTTAAAAAAAAAATTTTTAAAAATAGGCAGAAAAAGAACGTCTATGGAAAATAATTAATGCTAAACTTATGCCACCTATTTCGCCATCATTGTCACCACAACCACCATCGTCGTCATCATTATCATCTAACAATCTACAAATTAATAAAACTGCATCAGAAACAAATCTTACATCTACAGTACATCAACTTATTATATCATATTTAATTCATCATGGATACAGCGAGGCAGCAAAAGTTTTTTCACAAGATGCTACACGAATAAATTCTATTCTTAATAGTAATGCGATGGAAGGAGTGGAAATTGAGAACACATCTTTTAATTTAGATAAAGATATGTTAAATAGGCAGAGTATGAAAAACAATTATACATATTTTTTTTTTTTTTAAGATTGATAATTTGAAAAAGATAGTTTATCGTGAAATTAATTTTTATTGAATTTATATTATTGTTGTTTTATAGGAATTCGAGATTCTGTCCTTAAAGGTGATATAGATGATGCCATCAAATTAACCAATAAGTTTTATCCATCAGTTTTACCTTCTAACGATGATATTTTGTTTCAACTTCGATGTCGCAAATTTATCGAAATGATGAGAGAGTGTGCTGGTAGTCAAATAATGAGTTCAGACGAAGATGATGTCGCGATCAAGAAAGATAAAAAATTAGTCGAAATTATTGATGAGGGCGAGGGAGAAAATAATGGAGACGACATTATTGCGGAAGATGATGATATTGAAGTCTTTGGAGATAATGGTGGTGTGATTGAGGAAGATAGCGATGATAATGATAGTGATGAAAATAACAACGAGGCGGGAGAAATAGAAGAGAAGGAAGATGACGATGAGGATGACGATGAGGAGGAAGATGATGACGATGAGGACGATGATGAATATGAGGATGCAATGGAAGTTGATGATTTTTCAAATACACAGAATGATTATGAACTCAATTTATTAGAAGATGATAATTTATCAAACAAAAACAAAAAAACATTAAAACGGCGGAAAGGACCCGAGGTAAACTTAAATGGATTAGGAGGAATGATAGAGTCTGCTGTACGATTCGGTCAAGAATTACAAGATGATTATCGTGATGATACTCGAGAAGAAGTAAAAAAGAAATTATTGGTTAGATATATATATATTTGTTTAAGATAATGTTGTTTATTAAACATTCGATATATGTATATATATTTATGTGTTTATTTATTTATTATTAGGAAACATTTTCATTATTAGCGTATACTGATCCAAGAGAAAGTGTTGTTTCTTATTTATTAGATCCATCTGAACGTGAGCCAGTTGCCAATGCATTAAATAGTGCAATTTTAGGTGAAAAAATTTTATTGTGAAAAAAATTCCAGTTTATAAATACAACAATATTAATCTTCATACCATCGAATTATTTATTTTTCAGTATCACAAGGAAAACCTGCAATTCCGCCATTGGAACAAATCTATCGACAAACTTCAGTAGCATTAAATGAACTTTCTAGAAATGGTGTTGGTTCTAGTGCTTTAGTCAATATACGAAAAAATTGCTTAATTTAAAAAAAATTAATAATATATATATATATATATATATATATATAAGGAACAATCATTGTTTGTCGTGTTATATGTATATATATATCTTTCCCTTTCATATTATATTATATGCCATATAATGTTTCTTAACTGTTATTTTATTCTTTCCTTCAATTGGACAATCTTTAATTAATATTATTATATTGTTTTTTTTCAGTTTTCCATGTACAAATTATATATATAATTTTTTTTATATTAACTCATTTCTTTTTTTACTTTTGCTTTGCTACTATCATTATGTTTTTTATTTTATATTTACTTTATTTATAAATATATTTTTTTATTTTATTTGTTAATGTTGTTGTAATCATTGTTTTTATTTACTAAATTTATTTGTATATTCTGTTGGAAGTCGATAGAAGGAAGATAGACAACAATGAAATGAAGTTTGGTAAAATTTCTAAAATATCTTTTTTTTTGATGAATCAGCTGTTTTTGAAACCCTTCCATATTTAATTATATATATATATATATATACACACAATGAACTGGTTTGTTTATAATGTCTTGTTTTCATGATGATGTCTTTCCATAATTATTAGTTTTTGTAAATAAAAATTACGAAAAAAATTTTTTAATAATAATAATTATTCCGAAAGTTGATCTAAAAGGTATCAATTTCAATACGAATAACCTACTTTAAACTTTTTGAACAAAGCCTATCTAACAATATTATTTAGATTACTCATTAAGCAATTTTTTAATAATAATTCTGTAATAACTAGAAATGCTTTTTGGTTGAGTTTTGTAAATTGCCATTATACATCCCATAGCTAATGAAAAGTAAATTGCTTCTCCGTTCCTATTGTTTATTATAAAAATATTAATATGTAGTAAATATTAATGTGTAAATATGTTTGAAAATCATTACCTAATATTCCTAACTTTTCCTTTTTTTAATAGTAATTTCCAAGTAGATTCAATTGATAAACGTAAACTATACATTCCAATATCTAATCTACGATTTGGACTTTCAACTAAAATCCATAATCCTCCAATAAATCCATTAATAAAAATTCTATTGCATATATTTATAAAATTATATATATATAGGAAATATCATTATTACTCCATTATATATTAATTGATAATTAAACTTTTTTACCTTGAAATAGGCATAAATTTATTTGGTAGGACTTGTTGAAAACCACAAATTAAAGCCCATGCAGTTGAAATTGCCATCGTAATAAATGTTGCTCCTTTAAATGTTGCAGGTATCGTGGAATTTAAAATATGTTTTATAATATCATTTGGTCTAAAAATAATAAATTATATTTATTTAAATATATTTAATGGATCTATTTTAATGAAAAAAAAATTAAAATAATAAATAAAAAAACAAGATTATTTACCTCTTAAGAAAAGATTTTGATTTAAACAATAAACCAACTGCATGCATAACTCCCATAAATTTCAAAGCTGTCAAACCTTCTTTTACAATAAATTTTGTAAAAGTTCTTAGACAACTTGGATCTTCAGGATGTAACATAGCACACATCATTTTTGTATGAGCAGGATGAGCTATCTCAAATATCACTTTGACAGATTTTAAAGCGTCAGGTAATGGCGGAGCATCACGACCATGGAGTTTTGATGAATAGAATTTTGGATAATAAAGTGAAGCCAGTATTTCTATACGATCCACTATTTCTCTACCAGTTGGCCATGAAATTGATTTTGGAAAATATTCAGGGATTGGTTGGACATAAGTGGAACTACGGCTTGTGATGAAATTTGAATAAGATTCCTAAAAGAAAGTTATAATATTAATATGTATACATGAAACATAATATATATATATTTTATAAACATACAGGAAAAGTATCAGGATGTAACAAATAGGAATAGATCAATTGAGCAGAACTTAATGGAAATATTAACCAAGAACCCCACCACCATGACATTTTTGGTATTATATGAGTTTTCCTTAGATAATGATATAAAAATTGTAAAATTTTAGTAAATGTATAAATAGCCAAGGAGATTCTTCTAGGTTTATCATTATCGATCAATAAACAAGGACCAGCCAAACATCCGGCCAAAAATGGAGAAACCAATGGCGAACAAACAACATCATTGATACTTGGATTCGTTGGAGGTTTTAATAGAGGATCGAGTAGACGTATGAAAAATCTAAGTAATGATTTATATATTACTATGTAAGAGGAAACTGAGATTGCAAATCGATAACTAGATTTTATTTGTCTTTCGTCCAATAGTTTAAAAATACTAAATTAGACATATAAATGTTTGAGTGAGTGAATGTGTGATAGTAATATTTATCAATTTTGTAGTTTGTAATTTTGTAATTTTATAATTTATTACTGACCTTTTTTTCTTTTTTAAATTTTTTGATAAATTTAACAAAATCTCGATAACAATTGTAATAGCAGTAACCTTTAAAAAAGCCAATAAACCACTTCTAGAAGTGTTAGGTAAACAGTCATCGTGAAGACAAAAAATTGCTTTAATGGCAGTTTGATGGTCGTGTGGCTTTAAACTATTATTGATAATTAATTAATTAATGATTATAATCATAATAATTAAAAGTAAATGAGGGATTACTTTGAAGCATCTTTGAATTCTTCGTTATTTGGTATTTTCAAACCAACACTTTTAAGTATTTTTGATAAGCTAGGCGACAAACATTCATAATCTTTACGAGAAAATATGAAAGTTAATAAATATAACAAATTTCTTTTGCGTTGTTCTAAGATTGACTTTCTTGTCAAATCTAAATCATTTGTTTCCATGATTTATCAAAAAAAAATTTTTTTTGGTATTAGATTACACCAAAATCAAGAAAATGATTGAACACGTGTTGTATATTAAAAATTACATTTACCATGACAACAACATCATTGCCGTAAAAAACAATCACATAATATGTCTGTAATAGCATCATCAAACAATACATTTTACAGGAAAATCAAGATGATGAGTGCAAGGAGCATAATGTGGTGGTGAGCAAGGCGGAAGACAATGTGATGAAGGTGGAAGAAGGCAAAGAGCATCGTCGGCAATAACTCCATCATTTTTGTTGTTGTTGTTGTTATTAGGATACCAAGGAATCTGTTGAGGTTAAATAATCAGCCATATTATAATAAGTATCGAAAAATGATTCGCTTGCTGGTAAAACATTCAAAGAAAGATCGCTTTTAATTAATTATTGTTATTGTTATCAATCTATTTGAAATTGTTAGAGGTGTGATGGAATGTGAGTTTATTATTGTAAATAAATTAATTGATAATAAAAAGGGAATTTAAAAGATGAAAATGAAGATAATGATGGCAATAGCTATTTATTTTTAATATTATTGGCATTAGTGATAAAGAATAATTGGAAAAAAAGAATTTATTGTTATTGGATATATTTTTTGATTTTGAAAGAAGGAACTTATTTTATATTCGTTCGCTTCGTAATTTTAATTAATTTAAACTTTATAAAACTATATCAGATCAAAAAAATCGTATATTTTTCAATTTATTAAATTTATTAATACTCCATCTTCTTTAATAATCATTGTTAAATCATCGTAATAGTTGTATATAGTGATTATAGATGACGATTGAAGTATGGTTGTATTTAAATTTTTTATTCAATGTTATTTATAAATTAAAATTTTAAATTTGAATTTTTTGATTTTTACACAAAAAATTTTTTTTGTTAAAAGAATATAACGAAACTAAGATGAATTCAAGACAACAATTAATTTCACAATCTACTAAAATCTTAAATTCAAAATTATTGCCACCATTAACATTATATCGTCAAATTCTAAGGATACATCAACAATTACCAACACCTTTACGTCTAGTAGGAGATGATTATGTTAAATCAGAATTTAGACAACATAAAGATATAACAAATCCAATTCACATTGTTGGATTTTTAACTCAATGGCAAAATTATTTAAAGGTACTTGAATCACAAATATCCAACAAGAAACATGACCAAGAAGATTCTAACACTAATGATATTAATATTATTAGTGGCAGTAAGAGCAGTAAAAGTGACAGTGATGGTGATGATAATGTGAATAATATTAAATATGGAAAAAAATTTGATGATTTAGAGAAATTTAATGATCAACAGATTGGACAATTGTATGAATTAATGAAAGAAACAAAAGGTGCTTTATTTAAAGAATTAGAGAAGAAGAAAAGGTAATTAATGTAAAGAAACAGTCATAAATTGGTGAGATTCTCTTTTGTATTTTTTGTTTCATTTATATCTATGTGGCATCCTAATTTGTAAAATTTTATGTTTCACAAAATCAATATATTAGTAGGGTTTGCTTAGCTAGTGTAATTTTAGTCATGGTTAGGAAATGGATTTGTTTTAGAATTAGGCAAAATACCAATGACCTCATATGTTTAGTTTGCTTATTTTTGTTAATTTTTTAATTTTTTGAAAGGTCATATGTTTCAAATAAATTGGGTCAACTATTACTATATTAGATAGAATAAAATTATCATTTTTACCATGTCTTCTGTAAAGAGCAACTTTTAAAATACTCATATTGTGCCCATATTATTCATGCTAAGAAGGTTATTTGGATTTGTGGTACTTAATAGATGCTGGGATGAAGATTACTTAAATCATCATGCAAAGAGTAAAGAACAATTTTCAATCTTTACAACCTGCTCAAACTGAAAATATAGAAAGTTCAGAGGAAGAATTTGATTCTGACATATATGTTAATATGAATGATGATGAGTATGAAATAAAGATGATACTTTAATCTCGCCTTTTATTATAAAACAAATACATGTCAATGTTCAAAAAAAAACCAATTGTGCAAGCATTGTCATACAAATGAAGCAATTGATGATATATGTATATATATATATTCAATCAATATTTTAGTGATTTTATTAAGGAAAAATGTAATATTTTAGCACATCATGTACTGTCAAAAGTTTTAATTGATGGTATGGTTATTCGCCAAAACTCCTCCAGAAATCAATTGGCGGAGTTTCGTCATGTTACACACTAATTGTTCATTAGGTTAGCTTGCAATTTGATTGGTTCAACAATGACAAAATGAAATCATAACTTTGTAGAGAAAGGTCATAAACTATGATTTGATTTTCATGTTACTAAAGGACCTACAAGACCAATAAAAAGTTGCAGAACTAGGCATTGTCTAAAATCAATGTGCGGAATGCTCAATCCAAACATGATAGTTTATTTGCGCGCAGTATGATTTTAGAGATGTGTACCGTCCGACCTCAATTTTTTATAAATTTTGTGACTTAATGTGCGGGAATCAAATAAATATTATTACAGTTCATAAATCCAAAATGACTGATATATTTATATAATAGTTATTTCACGGGAATCTGTGAAATAACTGGTTTATCTTACGGAGATTAACGCCCGTTATGAAAAAAATTTTATTTTGCTATGAAAAAGTTTATTTTACATAAAGTCTTTTTTTTTACTTATGATAAAAAATCACAATTTACCATTTGCATCCTTTCCTAAAACATTTCTTATTTAATAAAAATGCATCAAATTCACAACAATAAAAAGCAAAAAGGTCCCAAAAAAGTATTTCAACCTATTTTGCTAATGCAAGTTTGCTCCTTTCCCAAAAAGTTTCTGAGGCTTCTGAATCACTTTTACCACTGCCTGCAAGAAAATAAAATAATAGTAATATAATGAACAATGAAATAAAAATTCAGTAATAATAATATTCATAATAACAACAATGAAATGATTTTTGAATTTAAAAGGAATAGTCTCAAAATAGAAGAGATTAATGATTAATGAAATTTTAATAAAACTTCAATCAGAAATCTTTTGTTGTTTGAAACAAAAAAAAAGATATTTATGTCTATAGTTTAAAATATATGACAATACAAATAGGTTTATTTTTTAGAGTATCTTACCTGTATAATTTACTTTAAGTTTATTTTCTTCCACGTTCAAATGATTACATTTATCTTCAACATTCCAAGCTGTAGGCAAAGCGAGAGCCTCAAAAGAAAGTTTATCAGAATCGTTATTAGCAAATGCCTCAGGTTCAGCTTCATTATACAAATCAGCAAAACTTGTCTCAACCAAGTAGTTAGGAAGTTTTGGTTTTACAGGTATTGATTTAGATTGCTTATTTTTGTGAATATCTTTATATGAATTTATGTCTGAAGATGCAGTCTGAGAATAAGTATAAGCAGATCGTGTACTAGAGCCAGAAGCAAAGGCAGTTGCTGTTGAATTTAATGGATAGTTCGACATGGCACGTGTGTATGGTGAGGCCATAATAGTGGAATATGAAGAAGAAGTGGTGGAAGAATGATGATTTGACATATTTGTTGGCAAAGGTGGTAATGGTTGGTACAGTGAAGAAGAAGAAGTAGTACCTGATAAGGCAAAAGGTGATGTAAGCAAGCTACTCAATGATATTGTTCTCCTTCTGGAGATAGAGTTTGAAGTATTTGTCATTAACGGAAATATGACACAATAAATCTTAATGAATAAGTTTTAAGCGATTTTTCAAGTCTAAGTTTCTTTTGCTTATCAAATTTGTAATGTTTGATCATATGTGATGTAATCAAATTATACATGATTTTCTAATTTAATAAAAAAAAAAATCACATTAACACAAAAAAAATATCAAATTGAAATTTGTGTCAATTTGACGTTATCACATTCTACAGAGTGATTATTGATGATGACATTTCCGAATTCACATACATGATTTTTTTTTGCTGAATCACATTGTTTAAAAATTAAAATTTATTGTGTCGTTTTTTTTTAAAAAATCTTGAATTAAAATATGATAGATACATATAAGAAATAAGTGTTTAATATATATATTCATATTGCCAGAATAATAAAATCTAAACGAATTTTGTGGATAATTTTTAATTTCCATTACATCAACTAACTATATAAACTATCCTTGTACTAAATTATATTTTCCCTTATAAATTTACATTTTTTACTAATTTAGTCTTTGTTTTCTTAAGTTTTCTCCACGTACCATCAGCTAAATTCATCTCGAAAATAAATATTTCATGGATTTCTTTTCCTTCATCATAACGAGTAATCCTTTCCACATTCAAATCCAACCTCCTTGTATCATCATCAGGACCAGAAATTCCATCCGAAATATTTATTAATTGACCTTTTACTAATAAACGATGTATATATGATTTTCAGTAAGTTGATCTTTTTTTGTTGATATATTATTATTATTAGAAAATAATTTTTACCTTCATTATGTAGATCAGCTAAGAAATAAATAATTAACTCCCTGTTTTGCTCATCAAGCATATTTGCTTTCTCCAATACTTTATATATATGTTCTATAGTTTGTTGTCGTTCTTCTTTAGTTTTGCTATCCAATATTTCTATATTTTTACATAAATATTAGGATGATCCAAAAAAATTCATTATACAATTTCAATGTTTGATTTTAATCAAAATACCTATGATCCTTTGTGGTAATCTTATGTTTAAACTTGATAAATCAATATTTTGTGAATTATTATTATCTTCTAAAATATCTTGCATCACCTTTTCGTCTACATTTTCATTAATTGGTGAGGTCGGCGATTGTTTTATTTGAGGGTCATTAGATATACCCGACGGTGATAATGGTGATTTGGGTGAGCTGAACATTATTTGTGTATCTTTGTGGGAATTTTCACCTTCAGTGATTATTTCTTCCATACCCATTTCTTCTGTTTCGTCTATTTTATTTAGTTAATAAATAAAAATGGTTATTTATAAACCAATTAAATATAAATTAAATTATTATATACAATATATACACACATAAGGAGACAAAAAATCTAACTATTCTATTATATTTATTCTATTAATATTAATATTAACGTTAACATTAATAACACTTTACCATTTAACTTCTTCCTTTTAGGGTAACCAGAAGAACCTTTTTCGTAAAATGAAAAAATTTAATATTATATAAAAGACAGTAAATATTATAATCCTAACAAAAAATCCTTATAAAGAAAGTTAATAAAATCCATTACCTTGCCGTTTTGCTGTTTCAGAAGCTGTAGATGTACTGGTAGAAGACGTCTCAGTTCTTGCTGCTGCTACCATTGCTTCGACTTTTGCAGTTGCTCTTTCTTGTTTTTCTCTTTCTTTTGCTAACCTAGCTTCCTCCTTTTGACGTATCTTATCAGCTTTTTCTTTTTCTTTTAATAGCCTTTTTTCTTCTTCTTCTTTGCGCTTTTCTTCTTGTTTTTTCTCTCTCTCCAATTTACGTTGTTCTTTCAATTGCACCTCCTCTGATCGATATAATATAACAGAAAGGAATTTTATAAAATGTCAATAGATACATTCTGTATTTTCTTTTATTTGACAGCAGAAAAATATGGCGAGCAATACGATTATAAAATTTGATTCGCAACTATAAACTTAATTCGGGTAATCTATGCAAATGGCTTACCCAATTGTGTTTTAAGTTTAGTTTCTTCTTGATTTCTAATAATTGAGCTTCCAGTTGTTATATCTAGAATCTGAATCCTTGTTTCTTTTTGATATTTCTTTCCTTGAGTTATTTTGATTTCTGTTGGTGATTCTGCTCCCGAAGGTCCGTTAGTAAATCCTAATTAAATGAGAAAGACAACATATTAAAAATTGACGCATATATATGTATGTGATGCATGAACAAAATAAGTTTGTCTTTTTTAAAAAATATTTATAACAATAATAACAAAAAAATAAAAACCTCTGGAAGTATTTATTGGACCAGGGAGCGAAGGATTAGTTCTTGGGTATGGGT